ATAGGCTTATGAAAGATAGGGCAGTGACTTCTCCTGGGTAATGCATGGCCTCTTGGGCAATCTTTTTCCAGAATAGTCTTGTCTCATCACAATTAAACACTTGCCACAAACAATTATGGTAGGTATCTTGAGGTCATCTTGAGATGATTTCGGGGCTTTTTAGTGTCCCCGCGGCCCAGTCCTCGACCAGGCCTCCACCCCCAGGAAGCAGCCCGTGACAGCTGACTAACACCCAGGTACCTATTTTACTGCTAGGTAACAGGGGCATAGGGTGAAAGAAACTGCCCATTGTTTCTCACCGGCGCCTGGGATCGAACCCAGGACCACAGGATCACAAGTCCAGCGTGCTGTCCGCTCGGCCGACCGGCTCCCCTCACTCTCTACAAACTCATTAAATTCGTCAATAAATCTTTCAGTCGCTGGTTTGTCTTGAGCTGGCAGCCTCTCCATGCCTCGCAACACTATGAATACCACTTCTTTTTCTAAATTTTTCCAACCATCCCCTGCTTGCCTTGAACACACTCGTATCGGCATCACTCGTGCGGTTCATCATACACTTCTTCCACGTTACTTTCCGGTGCTTTTGGTATCCCGCTGCTCTTCCCTCCTCTCAGATCAGCGGTTTTTATGTTTATAATTTTGGCATGAATTTTGCTATGCAGATTGTGAACCTTGGGTATCTGAGTGTAATGTTTTGATTTGCTGCGACTGGCCACCAGAGCAGTACACCGGTCGTGGCGCACCTTCCCATCACTGTGGTTTGTTGCCATCCACTCTTTGCATATGGTAGCCGGGCAGTTGAAAGTTTATCATTCTATTTCCGCATTTTGGGGTGTTTTTCATTTAGTTAATGCGCTATTAGGGAACCGGTCGGCTGAGCGGACAGCATGCTGGACTTGTGATCCTATGGTCCTGGGTTCGATCCCAGGCGCCGGCGAGAAACAATGGGCAGTTTCTTTCACCCTATGCCCCTGTTACCTAGCAGTAAAATAGGTACCTGGGTGTTAGTCAGCTGTCACGGGCTGCTTCCTGGGGGTGGAGGCCTGGTCGAGGACCGGGCCGCGGGGACACTAAAAAGCCCCGAAATCATCTCAAGATAACCTCAAGAAGAAGCCATTGTTCTTATGGGTTACTCAGTCGTTCATTTATGTGTGACAAGTCTCGGGTGTGGGTTATGTCTGCTATGAAATGGGTGGGGAGGTACGTGAATTGGTGTGTGCGCTTCCCTCATCCCTGCTGATGTGTCGTTTGTAGTTTTGGTAAGTTTGTACTCGCCTCGTTGTGGTCTTGTTGTTGTACTCGAGGTGGTTGCGTTTCGGCTCTTTTTGGACCCGCCTCTCGCCTGTCATTCTCTTGGTGTACACATTCCTGAGCTTCTTGAGCTCCTACAGTAGCAGCCTCCACCTTATCACTGCATTCTGCATTACCTTTCCTTACTACTATGCCTCTGGACATGTTTGTTTTCATATGTCTGCAGCTCCTTTGGGTACTGTTTCCACCTGTGCCCCATTATGAGGGTACCAATGTTATTGCTTCATTCATCATTTTTACCCTGTCTGTTCCCCCTGAGGATGTGTGGATTGGTGGTCATGTTTCCCAGTCTTGTATTATCTGGGCAGTCTTGTCTTGAGTACAAGACTGGGCTACTTCTCTATGTTATTACCTCAGTCTTGTGTTCACAAACTGTGCTCATTGGTTTGTTTTCATTATTTTATTAGAGGCACCCATTTTGTGCCTAGCGACCTTGTCCTGTATGCTCATTCAGCTCCTTGGACTCTGCTCGGTATCCTGTCTATATTACAGCTGCTTTTAATGTGGGGCTCATTTTTATCCCCCCTCTCCCGCCCGCCATTTTTTTTTTTATTAATGTTGTGCATCTTATCTGCTGGCAAATGTGGAAGGTAGGGCTTCTACCCCCTCCCCCCCCCCCTCAGGCTCATTTCCAGGTGCCCTTGGGTTCCTCAGATAGTCTTTTAGGAGGTTTTCTTCCTCTTGGGTTACCCCTGCGGAGGGTCGGGAGGCCCTTGGTGCGTACCTCCTGCGAGACCCGACTTATGCCTCTGTTTTAGATCCAGTTTTGAGTTTTGTTCCTTTTACACTGATCGGATGCATTTTCAAGGTTCCGGTGTCTTCCTGGCTGGCAGTCTGCCTCGAAGACTGGTTGGTGTGTGCTCCTTGCTGATCTGCTTGTCTGCTAGCTGGGGTTCTGGTTCTTTCCCAGTTTGCCAGATTCGGGGTTGGCTGGGCCAGTGTGGGGTTCTTGGACTGTGTCCGTTTCTCTCCTGCAGCTTTGCTCTGGTTGTGGTCCCGCCTTCAGCTGTTGAGGGGGACCCGGGTCACTCGGCGGTTGCTCGAGCAGCTGTGCGAGAGCCTGCACTTAGCTCTGCTGGTTTATCTGCTGGACAGGGTTTGGCTTCGGAGGTTGTTCTAGTACAGGAGGTGCAGGAGTTTGCGGCTGTTTGGCAGCCGGATCCGATGGATCCGGCTTCCTCAAGCTCAGTGATCTGACTCCATTCGGAATGCTTCCACGTGGTTCATTGTCTCACCGGGGAGAGCCCCTTCGGCCCATGGCTTTGGGACTGGTCGCTTCGGGTGACCAGTTGATCCACAAAATAGAGAATATCCTTGATAACCTAGCAAACTCGGTACCAGATATTATCTTCCTTGGAGATTTCAATCTACCCAGTTTACAATGGAGAATAGTAAACAATAACATTATAGCAGGAAATCAACCTGGAAATAACCAATCACAGGTCATAGAACTACTGTACTGAGATTCTGTGACAAATTCTCGCTCAGTCAGCAGATTACAGAACCGACTAGGAACGAGAACACGCTGGACCTCATATTCACGAACAGTGATTAGCTAATCAGAGACATTACTATCTCAGACACTACGTACTCGGACCACAAGCTCATTGAAGTGCAAACTAACATTAATAACGGTAGTAGGCCCAAGTGAAACAACAAGCAAGAAGGGCTATTCAATAAATTCAATTTTAATAATAAAAGTATAGACTGGGAGAAAATAAACAGGGAACTTAAAACCATTCAGTGGGAAAATGTTCTAAGTAATATAAATCCTACACAAGGAATAAAAAAATTGGCTTCTGAATCCTATGAAGTCTGTCTGAAACATATTCCTTTGAGGAAAGCCAGAAAGAGTTCCAACGTAGAAAGAGAACGCAGATGACACTACAAAAGAAGAAAAAAGTTAACGGAAATGCTGAAGCAGACACGACTTTCCATACAAAGAAGGAATAATTTAAACATGGAGATTGAAGAAATCGAACAGAGACTGAAGCATTAATATCAGATTGAAGAAAGGCAACTAGAACGGAAAGCAATTCAAGAAATAAAGAAAAACCCAAAATATTTCTTCACACATGCTAAATTAAAAGTAAAAACCACTGCCAGTATCGGACCTATTCGTACTAGTGAAGGTTCATATATTGAGGATGACAAAGAAATTAGTGAAATCCTAAGAAAGCAGTATGGGGTCATGTTTAGCACTCCGATACTCAGCATGAAAATGGAAGATCCGGACAACTTCCTTATGCGTGATATCCAAACCCCTGTAAATATAACTGATATCAACACGAGCGTTGCAGATTTTGAAAGAAAAATTGACAATACAGTATGCCCATGCACTCGGCCCCGGGTCCAGACTCGTGGAATTCAATATTTATAAAGAAATGCAGAGTGCCAGTAGCACAGGCACTCAGTACAGTGTGGAGGAAGAGCTTGGACATGGGGGAGATATCAGATGCACTTAAAGCAGCAGACATAGCCCCTCTACACAAGGGAGGTAGCAAAGCATTGGCAAAGAATTATAGACCCGTTGCACTAACGTCCCACATAATAAAAGTATTTGAGAGTGTGATCAGGAGTCAGGTCACTAGTTTCATGGAGACCAATGACCTCCACAATCCAGGCCAACATGGATTTAGAGCAGGAAGATCATGCCTCTCGCAGCTACTCGACTATTACGATAAAATCACTGAGGCATTAGAAGAAAAACAGGATGCAGCTGTGGTATACACGGATTTCGCAAAGGCATTCAATAAATGTGACCATGGAGTGATAGCACACAAAATGAGGTCAATGGGAATAACTGGTAAAGTAGGACGCCGGATACTCAGTTTTCTGTCGAAAACAACACAGAGTAACAGTCAACCATATAATATCGAGTCCAAGCGCAGTTAAAAGCTCAGTACCTCAAGGTACAGTCTTTGCACCACTGCTTTTCCTTATTCTCATATCAGATGTAGACTCAAATACAAGGCAAAGCTTCGTTTCATCCTTTACAGATGACACAAAAATCAGCATGAAGATTACCTCTGCTGAAGATACTGAAAAACTACAAGCAGATATTAATAAAGTTTTCGACTGGGCAGCAGAAAATAACATGATGTTTAACAGCAATAAATAAATTGCAGGTACTCAGATAAGGTAAAAATGAGAACCTTAAAACATAATACAGGGTACCTCATCACAATCGACTTGAGAATGGTCCAGGACGGACCGAAACGTCGTCGTCCCTTCAAACTTCTAGTGTGTGGTCTGGTCAACATACTTCAGCCACGTTATTGTGACTCATCGCCTGCATAGGGTACAAAATGCAATCAAATTTGCCCCATAGTAGGAAAGCAACATGTAAAGGATTTGGGAATAAGGATGTCTGACGACCTAAATTTTAGGGAGCATAATCAATCTTCTCTCTGAGGGGAACAGGTTCTGGCTTGTGGTTCCCGGTAGGCATGACTCCTGTGACTGATGACCCCCTCAAACTAATACACTATAGCACATATCAGTTTGGATAGTGTCAGGGAGCATCTGGGGCTCACCCAGAAAGAGGCGTTTCATTACATTCAACACTGGTTTTTTTCATTTAAAAATATACTTTACTGGTCACATAATAATAATTTATAATGCAGTAGTACAATTGTGTTAGTGTTAGCAATGTATAAAAAATTACTCATAATACATTTTTCTTTCAGAAAGAATGGCTAAAAGAATTGCAGCAAAGGAGTTGACCCATGAGAACTGGGCCGAAGAGGAAGAGCCAGAAGAGATGGGCACCTTCCGTCAAGCATCGTCTGATCAATTAGTCACACGGCATATAAAAAAGGCACGGAGAAGAGGTGCGGTAGCAGACACTTCCTCGCCATCCGTGTTCAAAGGATTCACTTCATTTTCTGGATTTGGTGTAAACAAAGATTCTACTAGTCAGCCTTCTTTTAGTTTCCTTAGCAAAAATTCAACCGAGACACCAACAAAGCCATCTTTTGATTTTTCAAGTGTACCTTCCACCAATACAAATCCTACTACAAAGCCCATAATAAACTCATCTGAGAACAAAACCACGACACAACTATTCAAATTTACACAGGAAACTACAGTTCCTAAAACAGTAGATTCTAGCAAAACTAATGGTGTTGTGCCAACAAAAGCCGCCACAGACCCATCTGGGAAAGGAGGTAGTAAGATTTTCCTTGCTCATTTAAAAGCATTAAATGAAGGTGTACTTCTATGGGTTAAGCAACACCTTGATAAAAATCCACATGTTAATTTATCACCTGTCTTTGATGATTACAAAAAGCACTTTGAGGAACTAAGTAGGAAATATCCAGCAGCTTCTGGAGGGGAAACAGACTCAGATGTAGGAGGAGCATCAAGCAATATTAAGAAGGATGAAGCTAGTGAGAAAGAAAACAAGCCATTGGTGTCACAGGAGGCATCTACAGAGTGCACGCCAAGCAAGAACTTGGTCTCCTCTGGGCCCACAACTGCTGAGAAAAGTCCAGAGACAAATAAACTTTTCTCTTTTGGGTACAGCTCCACAACAAAACCAGAGAAGACAACAGATTCAGATACAAAATCTACATTTACATTTGGGGGCTTTGGTGGTAGCAATAAAAGTTCAGAAAGTTCAATATTTGGTGGTTCTGATAAAAATAGAGGATTTACATTTGGTGGTTTAAGCTCCTCACAACCTAGCTCATCACCGTCCACTGGGTTCACTTTCACAAAGAGTAGCTCAGGAGCTACTGGAAACAATGAAGATTGTGCTGAAACAAATGAACCAAGTGATGAGCCGCCTAAATATGAGGTATCGGAAGTGAAAGAAGAGGATGCCCTCTATGAAAAGAAATGCAAGTTATTCTACTTGAAGGATGGAGGTTATGTAGAAAAGGGAGTTGGTACATTATTCCTTAAGCCTGCTGGAGAAAAGACTCAGTTAGTAATAAGAGCACTTACAAATTTAGGCAATATCCTGCTCAATATTATTCTTAACGCTTCTATTCCTGCAGTGAGAGCAGGGAAGAATGGTGTGATCTTTGCTTGTGTGCCCAACCCACCTTTGGATGGTAAGTCCACATCCTCCGAGCCAGTCAAGATGTTGATACGTGTCAAAACAGCAGAAGATGCTGATGACTTGTTAGAAAAAATGAATGAGCTGAAAAAATAGGTTTGAGGAAAACATTTTTCTTAAGATATATAGTTTTGGTTGTAATAGAAAAACTTAAGATGCCATAAAAGGAAACATTGATGATTTTAAATTATTTGCTTTGGCTTAAAATATCTAGTTTTTTTTTTTTAAGTTCAATAACAATAAACCTGGAGAAATGTACTCAATGATATAATTAAGCTTAAATTTAGGTGCCAGAAATGAAGATTTGCAGGAGCTCTATTATACTAAATTTACATCCAAATGCTAAATGATTTAGCTATTTTCATCATTGTAGTGTTGAACAACTTTATTATGTACATCATTTTAGTAGTGAACAGCTTTATTACAAATTTTTTGTGTTGTAAAAGTAGGCTCTGTTTCAGTATTGAAATGTGTGGTAAACCTCATAAAATCATTTATCTTAAAATTTTATAAATAGCCCAGTATGTTGTGCAGATAAATCAGACTACACAAATGTTATTTATTACTCGGTCACAGTTTTATTTTCAGGTTGTTGAATACATCTATCTTCATATGTGTGTGTGTGTGTGTGAACAAGTATAGGTTTTAAGCCTGGGTTTTAACCCTGCAGCCATTCCAGGTACGCATCTTAAACATCCAATTTTTTTTATTTGATTCAACTGAAATCATCAGCATTTTTTTTCATTGTCCAATGTATTCATGAGCCCTTCAAGTAATATTGGATTGTTTACATGTCTTGGAAAAATAACATTTTGTGAACACTACATTAAAGAATATTTTATTTGAAATAATTTTTTTATACTCAACTGTTCATTTATGCCACAAATATATTTGTTCTTTTAAAGTTCCTTGTATGTTGCATTCACTGGCCCAGCATTCTTTGTTGCCTTATTCCCACTACTCCTTTGACGAGGGCGGGCACACCCAAATTGCAGCCCATACAGTCGTACAGTGGGGCACGTACACAACCTCACTATAGCACAACATTTTCCAATTTATCCAGTCGTTTCTGATTTATTCTAAATGTTAGTACCTTGAATGACCACAAACAATTTGTAAACAAAAGTAAAGTACATGCAGCTTTCTCTGATGAAAAGATTGGACAACCATCAGTATCTTGTACTCATGACAGAAGCAAAGGGAAGAAATGAGATGGAAAAACAAAATAAAAAGAGGAAGAAAAAAAGGATAAAGAAAAAGAAAATCTTGATTGTAAAAATTATTTAAATTTTTTTATGAGGCCACAATTCTTGATTATACAGATTTCCCTTATTTATCTGGACACTAATCCATTTACTGTACTTACTAAAGTACAGTACTGTGTAACGTGATTGTAAACCCCCTGTTGCTATAGCACCAAGTTTGGTGTGTGTGGGAGGTAGGTAGAAAACCTAACCCTAATTGATGCAGTCTAAAGAATGTGAGATGATGCAAGAATCATGGATAAAACTTATTTGGGCAATCTTTTTGGAAGTGAAGCCTAGTTTTTAGATTATAATAATATAAATATGTGTGAAGCTTGCTTTCTTGTGGTGCAAAAAATATGAAGGAATCAAATTTTGACTTCCTTTCTGTGGAGCCCCTCTTTGGCTCCCCAGAGCTATACTGGGCTGATGTGTATATATTAGACAATGGCAACAGGGAGCCGAGCGGACAGCACACTGGACTTGTGATCCTGTGGTACTGGGTTCGATCCCAGGTGCCGGCGAGAAACAATGGGCAGAGTTTCTTTCACCCTATGCCCCTGTTACCTAGCAGTAAAATAGGTACCGGGGTGTGGAGTCAGCTGTCACGGGCTGCTTCCTGGGGGTGGAGGCCTGGTCGAGGACCGGGCCACGGGGACACTAATAAGCCCCGAAATCATCTCAAGATAACCTCAAGATAACAGTCAATCGATGGGGTTCTTGGCCTACCGACGACTACAAAGCAAAACCTGGCCCCCTCATTGGAGGCACAAGGAACAATGGCCTATAGAAACCCCAATGTAGTTGGAAGCAATCTGTGTCTGCTGTCTACTAGGTCAGGCACCCAGAAAAGTAGGAATCCCAAAACAAACTACAGCTGGTTAAACACTGCAAACCGAAAGCCGAACAAGCAGGCAGAACTCCCCAATCAGAAAACGAGCAAACAAGCGTGACGTCACATCAGACCGCTGCACCACTGTCTGCGCAGCTGCCCCCTCCCTGGGAGGGAGAAGGTGGGAGCCCCAGACCTCCTGCACCGGCTACCCAACCCCAGTGTTGAGGCTGTCGTGTTTGGTGGCGGTCAGTCGACTCTGGCTCCAATCCTCGAGTAGTGCTGTGTCTTGTGGTGGTAAGCCAGGTATAATTCCAGAAGTTGCATGCACCTAGGGTCACCTTCCCTAGGTGCCCTGTAAGTACTGCCCTTGCAGTTTGGGTTACCTTCCACAAACTGTTTGGGGACTGCCTCTGCAGGGTTCTTTTGCTGCTTGGTGATTGTCCGCCCTTGGGGTCAGCTGGGGTTTTCCCTACTGCTATTTGGCCTTGGGTAAGAGGTAGTATCGTCATTGGCAGGAGCGCAAGGTACTGTACAGCTGTCTTGTATTACACGTAGCGGCCGGTTCTGTTCCTCCTGGAGACGTTGTGCTTCTCCAGTTGACTACCTTTCTTTAGGGGCGGGGGGTTTGGAGGATGGCTCTGCCCCGGGTCCTGGCATGGAGGATCTAACATCCAAGGAGTTGAGGAGTTGAAAGTGCTTGCTTGATACCTGCTTGATGGGGTTCTGGGAGTTCTTCTACTCCCCAAGCCCAGCCCGAGGCCAGGCTCGACTTGAGAGTTTGGTCCACCAGGCTGTTGCTTGGAGCGGCCCGCAGGGCCACATACCCACCACAGCCCGGCTGATCCGGAACTTCTCTTAGAAAACAGTCCAGTTTTCTCTTGAAGATGTCCACGGTTGTTCACAGGGCAGGCCTCTTTTCCTGTGCTCTGTCAGTGCATCTTGGAGTGGGTGCGCTTGGGTGTGGTCAAAACAACCCCGTCTATCAGGTGGGTTTCCCGCCTGTTTCCAGTTCTGAAACGGGACTGTGCGGATCTAACGTTTGTTCTGTACTTGTCTTATCTGAAACCCCTGGATCTTCTGTCCTTCCTTTCGGATGACCACTCTGTCCCAGGTTCGGTTTCTTTTGGAGCCGGATGCTTGGATGGTGTGTGTGGATCTCCGGGATGCATATTGGCACATCCCGATTCATCTGGGGTTCAGGGACTGGATCGGTTTTGTTGTGAAGCGTCAAGCTTACGCTTTCGTTGCCTAACTTGAATCTGGCACCTCGCGTTTTCACACTCCTTACTCGGGTTGTGGTGACCCACTTGCGTCTGCTAGAGGTTCGGGTTCTGGCCTACCTCGACGATTAGCTGGTGTGGGCTCACAGCTAGTCCGCATGTCTGCTCGCCAGGGGTTTGGTTCTTTCCTAGCTCGTGGAGTTCAGGTTCTTGGTGAACTAGAGGAAATCCTATCTGGTTTCCTCTCAGGTTTGGACTTGGCTGGGTCTTGTGTAATTACCTAAGTCAAATTACCTAAGTGTAGTTACAGGATGAGAGCTACGCTCGTGGTGTCCCGTCTTCCCAGCACTCTGTCATATAATTTGTCATATAACGCTTTGAAACTACTGACGGTCTTGGCCTCCACCACCTTCTCACCTAACTTGTTCCAACCGTCTACCACTCTGTTTGCGAAAGTGAATTTTGTTATATTTCTTCGGCATCTGTGTTTAGCTAGTTTAATTCTATGACCTCTTGTTCTTAAAGTTCCAGGTCTCGGGAAATCTTCCCTATCGATTTTATCAATTCCTGTTACTATTTTGTATGTAGTGATCATATCACCTCTTTTTCTTCTGTCTTCTAGTTTTGGTATATTTAATGCCTCTAACTTCTCCTTGTAGCTCTTGCCCTTCAGTTCTGGGAGCCACTTAGTAGCGTGTCTTTGCACCTTTTCCAGTTTGTTGATGTGCTTCTTAAGATATGGGCACCACACAACCGCTGCATATACTAGCTTTGGCCTAACAAAAGTTGTGAACAATTTCTTTAGTATATCGCCATCCATGTACAGTATTTAATTAACACTTTCGCGCTCTCCGCGAAGGTCATTGAAACAACCGTAAGTGCTCATGGCGTTTTGCCGCGTAAGCGTAAAAACAAAAATGTGTATACTCTTTTTTACTCTCATGACCTTAGTTCTTGAGCTATGTATTTCATTTTGGTACCAACGTGTTCGCAATAAAATTCTCTAGAAGAACATCAGTAAAAAAAGTCACGAATTGTATAGGGATACCAGCACCAAATAAATAACTACGAAGATGACTCGCCGTGAGCGCCCAACGGCAACAAAATGTTTTTACTCTTGGGATTGTTATCACCTCCACACTTGTCCTACAGCGTTAATTTTGGTATCAATGGACTCGCAATGAAATTCCCAACACGGTGATATGAATATAAGCATAGAATAATGATTGCGGCCCGCCCGCAAGAGTGTGGGAAGTGGTGAAATTGTTACCCGGTGTCGGTGACGGGACGACGCACGGCGCTTTGAAAGTTTATACTTATTTCATTCTCATGACATTATTATTCTATGTACGTCATTCATTTTTGTGTCAATGTGTTTGCAATAGAATGTTCTATGAGCCTGTAGGTAAAAAAGATCAACAAAGCGTAAGATAGAAGAGCGCCAAATATAAAACAACGCTGGAACATATCAGTGAGAATCAAACACACACGAAATGTTTTTACTTTTGTTATGTTTGTGAACCTTTCATGAACTTATTGTACCATGCAGCCTATTGGTGAGAAAGAGAGCCTCATGGCGCGCAGTTTGAAACAAACCCAAAGTAAACCGGATAAAAATTGAATTTTATACAAATATTTTAAAAGAGGACATAAGTTTATGTCCACTATGCGGTGCCGTTAGGCGAAACAGGACTCCTTGGCGAGTCCGGTTAGCGCGAAAGTGTTAAGGTCCTCAGGTGATAGTTTTCTATCTAGAACCATCCCGAGATCTCTCTCTTTATCAGAATTCTTTAAAGATTTCTCACATAATATATAGGTTGTGTGAGGTCTATGTTCTCCTATTCCACATTCCATAACATGGCATTTATTAACATTATATTCCATTTGCCAAGTGTTGCTCCATATACTTATTTTGTCCAGGTCATCTTGAAGGGCATGACAATCATCTATGTTTCTTATCCTTCCTATTATACCCAAGAGTGTGGGACTCTTGGACTGCTTCCTTGTCTCTCCCTCTGGCGTCGTTGCTGCGGCTATACTTCCGTCTTTGGCTGTTTCTGGGGGACTCCCAGGTCACTCGTCGGTTGCTCGAGCAGCTGTGCGGGAGTTTGAACTTCGCCAGGCTAGTTTACCCACTGGGTCGAGTCTGGCTTCAGCGGCTGTTCTAGTTCCTTTGGGGACATCCCTTCTGCCGCTCTCGCGATTGTTGGGTTCGGCCCTCGCTCGACGTGTAGTGGATGTGTTGTCTCTTGGCTGGGGTTTTGTGACCAATGCTCACCAGGCCTGCCAGGGGAGGTGGGGTCCGTCCTTCCATGAGGCTGACAGCACGGTGCGGGAGTTTGCAGCGGTGTGGCTGTCGCTTCGGAGGGTTTAAATCGTTCACGGATCAATGATCGGGCTTCATTCTGAGCCCGATCGTACTTATGTCCTGGTACTTTATTGCCTGAACCGAGGGATTTTGATGCAGTCCTTGGCTCTTTGAAGCTGGTCGCTTCGGGTGAGTCTTCTGAGTTCTCAGGGTTTGGCTCTCCAGGCAGTTCACATTCATGGGGTGTCCAGCGTCCTGGCTGACGGCCTCTCCCGGTTCATTCTCCTGTCCACAGAATGGA